GTCCCCACCACGGCTCATCTCCTCAGGCGTGAAGCCGTTCATGTCTCCGTGGTCCGGGCGCCGGTGCTGACAGAAATCCACGCTCGCCTCTCTCCGTGCCTCAGGTACCCGCCCCGGCGTCGGCAATTGACACTGCACGACAAGTTCCGTGGCGGCACGGCCAAACACCAGGAGTCTCCGGCCTGCTGGTCCTGTTGGCGCCGGAACAGTGGGCAGTGCTTGGGGCCGGTACTCAGAGTCGAGCGGCGCCGGGAGCTGGAACCGAGCTCACTGTCACATGGAGACTTCAGTTGTTACGCTGCGCCTCCGCCTCCCTTCGGCCCAGGGACTGCGCAGGCGCGAAGCGCCCCTCCCCTCCCACCCCCTTCCACTCCGCCGCGAGGCACCACGAGAATTGTAGTTCTCTGACGCAGAGTTACTGTGCGCTCTGCCCCGACCCCGCGTACCGCGCTATGGAGGAACTACTCATCCCAGCATGCATCGCGCGGCTGGCGGCCGGTTTTTTTGTTTTTTGGTTTTTTTTTAAGCGCTCGGAAAACAGGGTATGTGGTTGTGTTTACAGTGTTTTCTCTCCTCCTGTCTCTGTAGGGAAGTTGGGATGGGCTTAGCTCCAGGATTTCGCAGACGTGTTCAGACGAAGTCACCGGACTCCTGAAGCTAAGCATAAAGGACAGTGGGACACTAAGCGTGTTTTCAGAAAAAAAGTTTCAGAGCGGTTTCATATTTGTGGTAAAACAGTTTTTGGTGTGATCACGCTTTTATGGGAAACCCAAACCACGGAGAACTCAGGCGACCTGGCGCTCTTCAGGGGCTGGAGGCCCTGCAGCTAACACCTCGGCTTTACCAATGCTGAGGCACCCAGTTCATAAGGGCTCGGGGGAAACGCCCATCTGACTTCGCGACCGTGGCAGGTCCTCCTTACAAGCGCCTCAACTGAAGGCCGACTCTGTATCCTTACGTGTTCCTGCAAGGAACGTGTTTCATTCTTAGGCGCACAAAGTCTGCCGCTTCCTGATGTGGAGCTGCTGATTAGTTGACAATAACGGGCTACTTTTCGCTTCTACTGCCAACCTTTTCAATATCTCCTCAAATGGATCAGAAGAAGGGCGGAGTCTAATATCATGTAAAAGGGAACGTGGAATCCCACCAGCACCAAGTTCACTTGACGACTCCTCAAACTTCCCAGCCTTAGTTCTATGAAGCGAGAGCGGAGAAAGAAGCCGCATTGCCCGAGTCATCCGCACGCGCTTGTGTGCGTGCATGTACGTGCTGCAGGCGTGTGTGT